TGTGTGTGTGTGTGTGTGTGTGTGTGTGTGTGTGTGTGTGTGTGTGTGTGTGTGTGTGTGTGTGTGTGTGTGTGTGTGTGTGTGCGTCCATCCCCCCCAGAGGATTGCTATAAGGTAGCATTTAAAACCCTCTGACCTCAGAGAGAAGAGCTCCTCTGCTTTTAATATGATCAAAAAGAACGAGGAGTCCTTGTGGCACCTTAGAGACTAACAAATTTATAAGGTGCCACAAGGACTCCTCATTCTTTTTGCTGATACAGACTAACACAGCTACCACTCTGAAACCTGTATGATGTAACTCTGATGTAATATGATGTAACTCTTGATTTAATTGTATGCATAGGCAACTAAGAGTGAACTGCCAAAAATATATGTGCCCTTTGCGACTTCCGTATGATATATATAAAGATAACCCCACATTGCACTTTCAAGTTTTGCTGGAGGACTCTTTCATAGAAGTTGGAGATTGAAAAGGCCCCACTCGGTTTTCTTAAAGCAGGATTGTTGCCTACTCTGTGTGTATAAACGTTCTGACTTAAGCAGTTCCAAGCAATGAGGCTTCTACCATTTCCCTTGGGAGACTCTTCCACAGCCCATCTGGGATTAAAAAAAATCCTACATTGCCACTGTATAAGTCAATGGTATGTCTGTATGTATAACAGTGTTCAGATCTTGTCTGATATTTTCAGAAATAGAAGGGGTTCAGAGACTGACCATGAAAGTGATTTGAGGCCTGGGGAGACTTCCATAAGAGGAGAGAGTGGAAAGACTGGGGATATTTAGATTCAAGAGAAGATGAATGAGAGGCTGTAACAAAGGTACACAAAATAACGAAAGGCATAAAGAATTAAATTGGGCATTCATAATTCTCAGAAAGCCTGATTTAAAACCAATTCATATCAATGGGAGTCTTGCTGTTCACTTCAGTAGCCTTCTGGTCAGACCCTTGGGCTGGGATTTTTGAAAGCACTTAAGGAAGTTAGGCACCCAGATCCTATTGAATTTTGATGGGTGTTATGTGCATGTGCCTCCTTTAAAAATCTCAGCCTTAATACAAGAATATGGGGACATCCAGTGAAACTGGAAAGCTATAAGCATATAATCGATTAAAGGAAACACTTTTTACAGCAGGTGTAATTAACCTGTGGAGCCCATTGTCATGAGAGAACTTCGAAGCCAAGGGCTTAATAGGATTCACAAAAGGATTAGTTATTATTTATGTGGCTTGTGAGAATATCTCCAGTTATTTAATATCAGGCTAATATATGTATAAAGTGTATGAAGCCTCATGCTTCAAAATGTAAGCCAGCTATTAATTGCCTAGGGATGGGAAGAAAGTTCCCATACGGGCAGGTTATTAAATGATTGTCCATTACGGAGGTTTAGTGCAGCTTTCTCCAAAGCATCTGAGAGATTGCGATACTATAAGTATAGTACCTTCAGGGTGTGCCAGCTTTCTTCCACACTAATGGATTTGAACTCTTTCTCTCATTGGCACCCTGACTTACTAGGCTTCTTAACTTCTGAAAACTTGCTTTCATGAGAGCTATTGTTGCATTCTTTGAACTCTTTTTTAAATTATGCAATAGTGCAGTTCCTGGTCAATTGCTCCAAGCTTCCTTCTTACTCATACTTTTTATAAATTTCTCATCAGTAAGAAGTAGATCTAGGGTAGATTCTCCTTGGGCTACAATCTCTAATTTCTGAATCATAAAGCTGTGTTACATATAATTTAGGAACACTTTGTCTGCTTGGTTGTATCTGTTACCCAGCTGATACGAGGGTAGTTAACCTCCAGCCCCAATGAGTACTTTCAGATAGTCTATATTGCAGGATAAACATTGGCCCAGGAGTTAATTCTCTCTGTTCCAGTGTTGGTCTGTAAAACATATTGATGGTCTCGAGTCTCAGACTAAAAATTTAGCATCTCCTTCCTGCTCAGTGGAGGGCTGAGCTAGATGACGGTTTAGGTTAAACTAAACTATACTGTGATACCAACATTTCATTCTGGTCCGTCAGGAAAAAATAAGGAGTTGTAGTGTAAACAGGTAAGCAGAACCCTATTTTCTCCTCACACTTTTGTGTGCCTGCCTGAAGCAGATTTTTTGGGGAAAGTTTTTGTTATTCTCAGAAACGGCTAAAATGTTTTTGAGATTAGGAAACCATTAATTGATTTGTCCTTTTTTTAAAATAATCTTTTAATTGAGAAGCTCTAGCTCCCCCATGCTTTGCAACAGGGACTTGACGTTTGGCAGGGACTTGACGTCTGGTGTCAGCAATGGACCTTTTGCTGTTCCCAGGAAAAACCTCCAAAA